TAGTAATTCAAGGATTGTTTTGTTTTAATGGGTTATATATGATTTTTTTTTCCCCAAGTAATGCCCCAAGGGAAACCATCAGCATCAAACTATAAAATCCCTAGCAAAAATTTAAGGCACAACATATAATTTTACATTATGATTCTCCAAACTAGAATCAGATTCTTACACATTGACAGAACATGACCACAAGGATATGATCAAGAACTTTATGTAGACTTTATCGATCATGAACACCGTGTAATCAAAACAACAAAATCTGATACAACAAAAATAATTTTCACATCACATATCTACATCAGTTGTATTCTGGCTGCTGACAAGATTTTATGCCACTGGAATCTCTACATCTGTTGAAGCTAGAGCAGGAGGGATGTATAGCTCCTCCTCCTTAGGTGGATGGATCGTGACAAGGTCAGGTAAGGGTTTAACCGGACCCTGCTTGCCTTTCGGGTCCCATTCAAGCATGATCTTCACTTTGATACCAAGAACGCCCTGCACCGCGTATATAACCGATCAAATTGAAAGTTCAGGTGTAGATAAACAATTCAACCAAATTATCTGGACAACAAAAATGATCGCTAAAAGAACAACAACCAGGTTCAAAGATATCTCGATAAATGAAAAGAAATTTCATGAACTTGCCTGTCTAAGAAGAACGTGCCTCACAGCAGAGTCGATGTACTCTTTCACAGGCTGGCCCGAGGATATCATGTAGCCATCCTTGAACTTCATTGATTTTGCACGTTGAGCTCTAAGCTTTCCACTAACAATAACCTGAAATTGATAAATACTGATTGGAATCAAGGTTGATGATGAGTAAACCCCTAGGGAAGGGATAGTAAAACAACAATTTCATACCTCACACCCCTTTGCTCCGTTCTCCATAACAAATCGTAAAACGCCATAGCAGGCCCTGTAGAGGAAAAAAGGAATTTAGTGAACTGAAAAAGTGTCAACTGCAAATTATCTGACCAATTGCTTCTCTACTTGTAATAATTATTTGCCGCATAAATACATTCAATTCTTAGCTTTTTCCCGTGGAATTTTAATATTTTCACTTTTTGTGGGATTTTTCTTTTTTCACATTTATCGAGCAGATTAGATAACCTCCAATTTTTAACAGGCTAGCAAGAAGAATAAAATAGGGAGAACCTAATGGTGAAATCAGGATTCTTTACGTAATTTGACATCAACTTTAAATGTTGAGTAACTCTCCCACCATTAAATTATCCAGATCAAGACATGATTCAAAATATACAATAGTTTTCAATAAGCTTTAATTGTAAAAATATGTAGGAGAATATTCCAAACTCCATTAACATAAAAGTTCATGAAGCCTGACAAACTCCATACATTCAATATAAGCATTGAAGAAAGCCACTTCAACCCATTTTTGATGGGGAAGGGATTATCAACAATCAATGCCATCACCGAGAATATTATTATACAGCAAATTTCATTTTATTTCAAATATCAAAAACATAATAAAAAGATCCACAAAATGATATAACAAAGACGATACAAAATACATGCAAAACTGGCACAAATGGTCCCTAACCTATTGCCTATGTACATTTTCAGTCACTAAAGTATTTTCCTTAACACAGACATCTTCGACAGCTTAACCTACGGTCAACGTGAAATAGCATTTTTTGCTATTTTCATCCATTTGATGCTTAAAAGTCAAATTTTTAATCAAAAGACAGCAATGCCATTACTTTAAATTATATATATATAATAAACAAGAAAAGAAAAAAAGAAAGAGGAGAAGAGAGATAACTCCTACCAAACTAATCTCCAAAATGCACTCAATCCCAATACCTTCCCCTCCCCAATCCACCACACTTCCTATCTTTGTATATGTAAACCATTCCCCAGTTTTTGCCATACACACAATACATACACATTGTTTGTACCCATTCCCCAATTTCTGACATATTCATGTTACATATGCCTTGATTGTGGTTTCATCGTTTTCCACTTTTCCTTGTGGTTGATAACCTCTGGTGCTATAATCTCTCCCACACAGTTAAAAGGTGAGCTACACATTATGTTTCTTCGATCACACAACTTTTCATCTCATTTTCAAGGAAGCCATATTATTATTAATACAATATAGAAAAAGATATTTGATCACCTAAGCACTTATGTTGAGCAATGTTGTCGTGATAGATGAATTAAGATTAAATTTAATTATTTGGGACCCTTCCTAATATTAAGAGTTCTCCAAAAATTTGTCAACCACAATCTTAGGGAACGCCCCCAGTATAATTTGATTTGATTCGATTTGAATTTAAACAAGGCCCCACACACAATAAATTAGATTTCACATTAATTCATATACTAAGCAATGTTATACATATATATTATTTATCGTGTCACTTGCAGATTTCTCTTGAGTCCCCCATAATCTAAACTCCAGACATTTGCTCTTGGTACCAATCTCATAAGGTATATGTTGCTAAATTGGTACTAGAATTTAACTTAAATCTCTAATAAGGGAGGTCTTGAGTTTGAATACGGGAAGACACGAAAAAATTCATAAGTGGTAAGATGAACACAAGTTCTTCCAAGGAGTACGGTACATATGAGTTAACAACTTAGACGCAGGCCGAATCGTTAACCATTACACTGCGGATTTGCACCATGATCAAATTTTGTTACCATATAGATGGACGGAGGTTGGTGTTTGGAGGAAGAAGGTTACAAATTAGACGAGATTTAGGGAAATAGAGGGTATTGGAGTGGGGTCATTTTGGGAATTGGTTTGGTAGGAGAAGCTATTTCTTTTCTTTTTGTCTTTTCTTTTAAATTTTATTTTTATTATTTGAATAAAAGCAAGGGCTTCATAGTCTTTTGATTTAAAAAATTGGTTTTTTAATAGTCAAACGGATGAAAATCGTGAAAAGGTACCATTTGCATAAAAAAAGCAAAGGTTGAGAATGTTCGTGCCAAGAAAAAAATGCATCTAAACAATTATGAATTAAAATACAAGACAGAAAAAATAACCCTCAGCCTAATAGGGCTTCCTAGAGAGTGCAATATTTGTTTTAAAAATCAAAATCACTTTCTTTAATTCAAAAATCATAAACAGAGCATAATAGGCTTTAAAAAATATTTTCAGATTTCCAATCAAGAACATAAGACAGAATCCTAAGTCACATCGTTAATTCCAAATCTAAAGCTGTATAATCAAAAGAATACCTATGGTAGTGTATTTTTTTTTTTTTTTTTTGGATTCTTAAAACAATTGAACTATCAAGATGAACTATCAATATTTTCTACGAGTACATGGTGGACACCTTTTTTAAGACTTGGATTATCTTTTATGGTTAGCATACTAGAAACACATTTTAGTGTGTGGTCACTGTCCTTAGTGGAGCACATCAATAGCCTACTTAAATAATTACTCTTTTAAGAGTGGCAAGACAAGCGCTAAAAAAGCATAGTTTGTATTCAGCACCCATTTGATTTTATCCCAATCTAAGAAAGAGTGTGTGTAGCTACTCCAAAGAGAATCGAAAATGATAGTTCATCTTGTAGTTGACCTTTTGAAGAATCTAAAAAGAAGAAACCACACTGCAAGAGGTAATTTAATTTACGATGTTTAATATACTCGCATAATGCTAAAGTTTATGTTATTGACTGAGTGAATCAGAAATCGATTTTTAAAACCTTTATTCTGTTGCAATTTGATTTTGGAAGATCGGGATTGGTTTTGAAAACCAACATGAAATCTTTGCCCCTGTTTGGCACCCATTCTCATTTTCATTTTTTTTCTTTCTTCGTTACAACCACACATTCTCCAAATAAAATAATATTTCACAAAAATCTAAAATTTTTCATCACTTTTCCACCACACATTTTTCCATCAATCACTATTTCAAAAATTTTATTCTCTTTAAAATGGGTTTCAAACACACCCTTTGTAAATTATATTACTAAACTAGAGAAATGTCAAGGTTTTCACGCACAAATGTGAGTATTGAAGTTCTCGCTACGTCTTATCTAGGGTTTGGATGTTAAACGAACAGTGAGGTCTAGAAAAAAAATTATCCATCCTTTCGGTTTAAGTACGAGGTTCCTATGCAATTTGGTTGCCATTGTTTCATACATTGACCTGTTTCAAATTCTAATTCAAACCAGATAAAAGGCCAATTAAAAAACCAGCAAAATAGCATGTTCATATCACATAATCAAGTCATCTCATATGCAGCATGTCTGGATTTCAATCTTTTTCTGATGCAGAATGTCATGAAGGAAGAATAAAGGAGACAAATTTCAAATAAAAAAAATTTTAAAAATGTGCGGAACATTTTCTAAACTCCAAATCTTCCAACTGTCAACTGTAGCAATACTTGATAGGAGGAAAAAAAATGGGCCAATTTCTTTGTATAATATATAAAGCATTCCAGCACAAAAAGCTAACCAACCGAAGTTAACCAGCACATAGTTAACAACATTTGCAGGAAAAGAAAAGAACAGAAAAGAACATAAAGTGACTATGTAGGAGCAATTTGAAAACCCCATTACGTTGGAGCAAGTAAAGGGGCCAACCTCACTCACTAAGTTGATTTAAGCATTGATAACGGTCCCCTTAATACCAAATCCTTAAGAGGAAAATAAGAAATATAATCAATGCTGCTTCATCTGTCTATATATGTTATACCTGTTATTTACAGCAATAACTTTTAATGAATAGGCTGTAGTTTGCTAAATAAAATTGCTGACGGCATGTTTTAGAGGTTTCAAGACAAATCTAAGAAACCAGCAGTAGAATGTGTGTATATGTGAGCTATCAAACAAAATTACAGTTGGAGAAAACCAACAAAATATAAATAGAAATGTACACACATTATGAAAATCCAACAAAAAGAAGGCTGAACATAAAGTAAAGGGTGAAAACCTGCGAACGGCAAGCCCTCCAAGAAGTTTATAGCGTAGTGACTCAGCCTGGGCAATAGCACATAAGCCCCTGTTGTTAACTCTTTCGGCATAAAGCTCCACACTGTTCTCAGGAAACTTGAACCTCTTCTGAACAACAGATGTCAACTCTCTAATCCTCCTCCCCTTTTCACCTAACAGAATACCCACGATAAACCATCAAAAGTTTGTTGCAGGCATATTATCCATCAAAATCACATAAATATTTTAGCATATAATGCAAATTAATTATGGAACCCACAATTCTTCATCTACTGAGATGGTATAGGTAATATCTAAGTGATATAGGAATTTCACTTCTATTTTACCGACTACAAGAAGTACCAAAGGGGTATTTTTCCATGTTTCCTCTACAAGTAAACAAACCAGATTCAACTTTCTATATATAAAAAATCATCATCAGAAAACATTAAAATTAGTATATCCTCGAGTTCTGACATTAAAAATTCCTTTTGACTTTTCAAAAGCAGTGCCAAACGGCCCTAAATCAACCAGGTAATGAATTAAAAATTCCAACCCTTGAAATAAATAATCGTGCATTACTTAAGATTAAGATTTACCAAGAACATTTTGAGTTCGAGTGGCCCTTATGATGATCTCGGTGCGCATGGGAGTGACTCTCACCTCCACCCCTGAGTAACCATCCTCCGCCAGCTCTCTCGTTAGCACCTCATTCAGCTCAGCAAAAAACACTCCATCTGCCACAAACTGCACCGAGAAAAAGAAAAATCCATATCACTTCCACACATAAACACGTAATGTAACTACAATTCATTCATATAACTATATAAAAACAAAGTACAAACACACAGCATGCCAATGTGTAGATATAGAAAGAAAGTGGGAGAAAATACCTTTCGTTTTTTGCTCATTTGAGTGGCCATCTTTAGATGAATAAGCTCTGTGATGGGTTACTAGCGTTGTTTTTAAGCTGGTGGCTGTGAGAAAGATTGGGAACGACGATGAGATTTTTGAGGTTTCCAGGATAAAGCAACGACAATATATATATATGTCGTGGTTGGATTAGGGTTTCATCGTATGGGCTAGAATGTTGCGCCGGCCCTAGAGATGTAAATGGGGACCGAGTCTGGATGACCAATTTTGTGAGCCCACGCAATGACTATCAAATGAAGAAGAAACACAAAGAGAAATGAGGAAATTACCTAAAATGAGTAGTTTAGTTTCAACTTTTTAAAAATCAGGTTTTAACTTTATTTCATTAAAAATCAGATTTTAATTTTACAATTAATATTAATAATAATTATAAAATTAAATTACTCTATATACCCCTCCTACCCCCACCAAACTCTAAACCCTAATTCCCAAACCCTCATATCTCCTTCCCCTCCTATCTCCTCCCGTCTCCACCCCTTTCCTCTCCCTTCCTCCCGGTGGATCTCCCCTTCCCTTCACAGCAGCCTGCTCCCCTTCTCCCTCATTTCCTTTCCCTTCCCTCCCTACTCTCTCTCTCCAGCTCTTCCCCTTCTCCCTCATCTCCTCTCCTCCTCCTCCAGCTCGCCCTTCGTCAGCTGTTCTTCACAATCGAACCTCTTACGAGATTAGTTATCGAGTGCGAGGCAAATATTGAACTTCTCTTCCTACTTGAAGCAGAGGTCGATGAATCTGCTGACATTGAACACGACAAGATAGGCACAGAACATGCTAAAGATGTTTCAAATATTTCCATGGAGACAGCCCCGTCCCTCGAGGAAGCTGCGGGTATACGCCGAAGCATACACGTTGCACTGAGAGCCATACATGGCCTTAGAAATGCAAGCTCTACAAACAATCATTTATCGTTATCGTCGTCGATATGTGACTGTTGCGAAGACTCAAGATGCCACCATCGCTTTTTGGGATTTTTGATGGGCTGTGATGGTGTAGCAGTCATCTCTCTCTCTGTATTTTGGAGATATATGATGGTGTGGAGATCTGTGTTGGGATGTTGGCTGTGGTGGTGGCGGCGATCGTGGGTGTCTGTGACTTAGGTGGGTGTCTGTGACCTAGAAATTATGACTGTGACCCGTAAAAGTTTGGATTTTTTTCAATTTGTGAACTATAAAAAAAATTTTGGTCGTTCTGTAACCTGTGACCAAGTATTATTGGTGTATTGGGATTGGGGGACGGGTGCGGTGGATGGGTCGAAGTGTCTGTGACCATCTATTTGGTTGATCTGTGACCTGTGACAAAGTATTGGTGATGTACTGGGATGAGGGAAGGGTATTTGGGTGACTGTGACCCATCTATATGGTAACTGTGACCTTAAAATTCGTTACTCTGTGACCTTAAAATATAACATGTGACCTCTAATTTTTTTATCAGTGACATATGAAGTCAACTGTGATCTATAAATTTTTTTAATCAGTAACATATGAAGTCAACTGTGATCTATAAATTTTTTTGATCTGTGATCTCCAAATAATCCATGACCAAACTGCATATAACTGTGATCTTAACAATTGTCGAAATCGGAGCAGTCCCCGGAATTAAGCGGCGGCAGAACGGTCACCGGAGTGGTCGTTGGAATTAAGCGCGGCCGGAAAACAGTCGCCGGAGCAATGGGGCTAGTGGAGATGGAGGTAGGGTGGAGTGGGGGTATATTATATTATATTGCAATTAAATATTTAATTTAATATAATAATTGTGAAATATAATTAATTAATTCAAAAAAAAACCTAATTTTTGTAATTTTAAACTTTGGGGCCTGATTTTTGATTTTTGGATAGATAAAGTCTGAGTTATGAATTTTTCCCAAAAGAAAAGCAGATAAATAGCCCTTGTTTGTCACTTATTCTCTTCCTCATTTTTTTACTTTTTTCTTTATTTTAACCACACATTCTTCAAATAAAATAATATTACACACAAATATAAAATTTTTCATCACTTTTCTCCACTATTTCACCACACATTCTCCCATCAATCCATATTCCAAAAATTTTCAAGCTATTCTTGATCATAATAATAGCGAACTCTGAAAGCTCAAATTTTGGAACGCTGATTAGTCAAAGAAACTCGAAATAATAGATAAAATTAAGGTGAGAAAAGAAGAAAAAATCCACTATCTAAATTGATTTGGGATTTGATAGTCTCTTCTCAAAAATGCCATGCCTTTTGGTACGAATTAATTTGGATTGTTGAATCAAAATTTCAAATTGGAATGCGAATTGGCAATCTATTCACACCCTTCCACTGTGGTCGATGACCATTCAATCTACATCAATGCTTTGGAAACAATTGAATCATATCATTATCTCTAATCAGTAATTCCATCTAACCACACTTATTTATTTGTGTTCAATCATCTATTAT